CCTAAACCTAAACCCTAACCCGTAAAACCCCAAAACCCTAAAACCCTAAACCCTAAACCCTAAAAGCCCTAAACTCCTAAACCCAAGAAACCCTAAAAGCCCTAAACTCCTAAACCCTAGAAACCCTAAAAGCCCTAAACTCCTAAAAGCCCTAAACCCTAAAAGCCCTAAACTCCTAAACCCTAAAAACCCTAAAAGCCCTAAACCCTAAACGCCCTAACACCCTAAAACCCAAGAAACCCTAAAAGCCCTAAACTCCTAAACCCTAAAAACCATAAAAACCCTAAACCCTAAAAGCCCTAAAAGCCCTCAAAACCCTAAAAGCCCCTAACTCCTAAACCCGAAAATGCCCTAAAAAGATGACGAGCAGGTTTGCGCTCAAGGCCCAGGTTCTTGTTGCGGGCGCTCGCAGGGTTCTTTGCTCTGGGTTCGAACGGTCTAGGGGTTTGGGGGTTTGGGGGTTTAGGGGTTTGGGAGTTTGGCAGTTTGGGAGTTTAGGGGTTTAGGGGTTTGGGGATTTGGGGTTTGGGGGTTTAGGGGTTCGTGGGTTTGGGGGTTTGGGGGTTTAGGGGTTTGAGGTTTAGGGGTTTGGGGGTTTGGGGGTTTGGGAGTTTAGGGGTTTAGGGGTTTGGGAGCTTAGGGGTTTGGGGGGTGTAGGGGTTTGGGGGTTTGGGAGTTTGGGGTTTAGGGGTTTGGGGGGTGTAGGTGTTTGGGGGGTGTAGGGGTTTGGGGGTTTGGGAGTTTGGGGTTTAGGGGTTTGGGGGGTATAGGGGGTTGGGGGTGTGGGAGTTTGGGGTTTAGGGGTTTGGGGGGTGTAGGGGTTTGGGGGTTTGGGGAGTTTAGGGCTTAGGGTTGAGGGGCGTAGGGGTTTAGGGGTTTAGGGTTTAGGGGTGTAGGGCTGAAAGGGTTTAGGGCTTATAGTGGGCTGGGGCTTAAAGGGTTTAGGGCTTATAGGGGTTTGAGCACTTGAAAAAAGGTACAGGAGATAGGACGACTATTGCCGGATTCCCCTCGACTTTACCTTAAGGAGGTACATTCAGTAGGGTTCTGTAAGAGGGTCCCCTTGAAAGACTTCAGGGCTCTATAAGATCCGGCTAGTTGAGCTCAGGCACAGCTACAAAGGCGCAGTCAGCCACCACAAGGCTGAGCCTGCCCCCGGTCCAGCTGCCACTGCGGCAGACACGCTGCCTGGCGGGCTTGGGCTTCGGGTTTTCGGGGGTTTAGGGTTTAGTATGGTTTAGGGCTTAGGGTTTAGGGTTTTGTAGGGTTTAGGGTTTAGTAGGGTTTAGGGTTTAGTAGGGTTTAGGATTCAGGGGTAGGGTTTCGGCTTCGGGGTAGGTTTCAGGTTAAGGCCAAGCTTTCTGGTTTCTGCTTCAGGGATGGGGCTTTCAAGGTTAGGGTCTTGGGCCTTAGAACTTTGAGCTCTTTTGGGGCGAATTGGGCTTCGGGCTCTTGGGGCTTTAGAAGTTGAGTTTAGGGTTTAGGGTTTAGGGTTTAGGGTTTAGGGTTTAGGGTTTAGGGTTTAGGGTTTAGGGTTTAGGGTTTAGGGCTTAGGTTTTGTTTCTTGTTGCGGCCCCGGGTTTTCGGGGGTGGTATCGGAGCACGGAGGAATTGCGGCTCGAAGCAGCGATCTATGCCCTATCATATAGGCTCACGCAGCTTCTAGAAGTCACCCCGTCTTCCCTAAACCCTAAACCCTATAAACCCTAAAGAAAGGGAGAATCAGAAGGCCCTGATGTATTCCCTGTCCTTCAGCCGGAAGCTGTCTACGAAACGTGGCTCTGCCTGGCAGCTACTATCCTTTCCTTCTTTTTGTAGGGCCTGTAGGGCCTGAATAATTAGAATAGGGTTTTGGGCTTATTATAAGGAACCCTTAGGAATAACATTGGCAATGATTTAGTCGTTTATATTGCAGTGCTGCCTTGCCTCAAGCGTCGCCGAAGAAAGGCGCGCAGTGCTTCGACGAGGAACTCTGATGCCATGTGTGGGCGTGCAGAGAAGGCACAGAGCAAAAGGTCCCGGTTTTTCCGGCAGAGAACCCTAAATCCTAAATTGTGGAAGCGATGGGGGGCGATTGATTCTATCCCGATGGGTATACTGGTTCATGCTGCACGTCCTCCCAACCGTCTGGATACAGTATAACAGTACGGCAATCCTCTTAGACTCTTCTATAGAGACAGTCGAGCCACCCAGCGAGCTTTCCGGACTTCCCCCAGAAACCCAAACCGTACATGTTAGCTTAGGGCTGTATTTGGTTCAGGGCTTTGCCATGCAACATGGCGGCACATCGGCATGGTGTCAGCCTTCGTGCATACACAGATGGAACGCCGGGGATCCCACCATCGTCGGTCCGGCAGAATGAGGCACCATTGGCCAGCGGATGGCACGTAGGCTGCTACTGAACCGTCGAAGAAATCAATCGAAGCCTTGCCTCAAGGATTGCTTCTAGACCGCATTGAAGGAACTATCTGGTTCTATGGGATCCTTCAGAGATGTGGGTCCGAGCTGGGTATATGACCCAATAATCCCTTCTTCTCCCTGGTGCTCCGTTAGCTTCCCTACGCCTCTCCTAAACCCTAAACCCTAGTTCGCCCCCCCCCCTTGAGAATCCAAGAATGGTTGCATTGGCTTATAAAAGGTCTGCAAGGATGCTTTGAGCTTCGAGATCGGGCCACGACGCGGAAAAAGGAGCGCAATGTAGAGGGTTTAGGGTTTAGGGTTTAGGCCTTCAATACAGAATCTATATAGGGGTTACTACGAGCAGAAGGGCTAGTATAATAATGGTTTAATACAGGGGCCTTCATAATTAGAAAAAAAATTTTGCGTCGATTCTTGTATAGGTATTGATATTCAGGAACCCGACGGAATAAAGAGGGTAAAACTCAGGCCTTCATATGGGCAGTTGAGTAAATCAGGGCCCCCTTTCAGTCGCCAAAAGCGTACGGCACCGTCATTAAAGGACCCTGAACCCGAAACGAGACCCTACCTCTAGAGACCTACCCATATCACATCGTCCAGCACTGCCCTCTGATCGTGTCAGCATTCTCGCTGCATGTGTGATCACAGACAATAGGGCTCAGAGGGTTTAGGGTCTAGGGTTTAGTCTGCGAACATCATGCGCGGGTGATAGCCTCATAACTTGCCTGATGTGCAATCGTGGAAGACATCGGAACCTTGGCAAGTCAAATCTTGAGCACCAGGCCAGCGCCACAATGATTGTATGGAAGACTCTGCCCGCTACCACTCCATGCTCTTTATGCTCTATGCGACAGCGTGTCAGCACAATCAACCCCAAATCTCGTGAAAGAAGATGTGATCGTCTGCATACCTTGCCTGTGACCTAAACCCTAAACCCTAAACCCTAAACCCTAAACCCTAAACCCTAAACCCTAAACCCTAAACCCTAAACCCTAAACCCTAAACCCTAAACCGACTGGAGCCCCACCTTTCT